ATCCACGCTGCAAGGCACATGACGTAGTGCCTTCAGCTGTGCTTGTCCACGAGGACAAGGCACGTGGTAAAGGGTATAAATACCCAGGAGTTCCTTCCAATAAAGAGACTTGAGAGACTTGATCAGACTCCCTGTCTTGTCTCCATTCTTCGCGTCTCCGTCCCCACTCTCTCTCTTGCTAGGCCCTGACCCGCGGACCGGAGCAGCAGAACGGGCGGTTACAAAGTGGCGCCTCAACGTTGGATCTCCAGTAAGCGGGATACAGTGAAGGACACAGCGGGAATTGGAAGCATGCATCCTCACTCCTGCGCTGGAGACCCTGCTGACTGACCCAAACAGGTTGTTACAGAACAATAAACTTTGATTGCTCTAAAGCCTCAAGTTAGGAGATGATTGTTACAAGGCAGTTAGTTACTAACTCCATTCTACCAAAGATATAAGATATTCTAAAGGAACCATGCATCACCATTTTCCCCCAACATACAAACCCATTTCTTAATTGTGTTACTAACCTAGACCCTAAAGGCTGTTACTAGTCCTGCCATGAAATTATAAGAAGAAGGAAAGAAAGTCACATGTCCCATCTAGCTTTTATCTAGAGGCTCCAGTTTGTGCCTATTACCACTGTATCCTATAGGGAGAAGAGGAAGCTCTGAGTGACTGAGGTCCAGAGTGAACCTATGCTGTTGACACAGGCTTGGCTATGTCCAGGAGCCCATGGCTTCGGGCTCAGAGGCATGGCAAAGCCTTCCATTGGAAACTGAGTGTAAATACTGACAGATAGTGTTAACCATAGTCTTCTCTTCCTGAATATTTATAGCCTGGCAACTGCTCCCCTACAGATACTGCTCTTTCCAAAATTAACTAAACCTGTCTCTTCTGTTCAACTGTGTACCATAAGCCCCGCCTTTTTGTTTATCTGTATTTAATAACCCTGCCTCCTTGTCCAGCTGTATGCAATAATCCTGCCACCCTGTCCAACTCTATATAATAAACACACTGGGTTTCCAGGATGCTGTAGCTTTGCCAACAGAGAGCCCAAGTCATCTGATCCCAGCTGTCTGTCTGTGTGTTCATCTGTTGGTCTTCATTCTTTGGACACCCCAGTCAGATCCATCCCTGGGGCCATTCTGGACACAGAAGTGTCCTTGTTTAAATAATAACAAAATGGCAACTCTTTAACTTTGTCATTAATTTCTATATACCTCTTTCAGCTCAGCATATTCTTTCTCTATCCCTCTCCCTGCTCCCCTCCCTGCAGTGTTTTTTTCCTCCTCTCCAATTCCTTCTTTCTTCCTTTTAACAGAGTGTCACTATATAGATCAGGCTGGGGACTTCTTATCTTCCTGTCTCAGTGCTCTGTGCCAGGAGTACAGTCATAACCCCCTCCCTTCCCCCTCAGAAACTTTTACTATTGGGGCAATGTGCTCCTAACATATTTCTACATGCCACATCTATTTGGTTGGATAAAATCAAGAATTCAAGGCACCAAATCATCACAAACCACAGTGCAAAACAAAATCAGATGAGCCAGATCACCAGGTACCATGTTTTCAACTACCCAGTTCCAACCAAACAAACCAAATCTTAGCTGAAACTTAAAGGGTTTAACATAGTAACATATAAACAGAAAATACTTACAAGAATACTAATATTAAAAAATGAAAAGCATCTAGAAAATTTTGTTCTCAGAAGGCAATAATTACGGCATCTTAGCACATGTGCTGAAAATTCAGGCAAGTGGGAGATTCACTCCCTATTAACCTTAACCAGAGACATTTCCATCTAAATTAATTGCGACTACTTTTTATTGCATTTCAAATGTTATCCTTTATTTGGGGTGGTCAGGAATGCAACTGAGCAATTCCAGATCATGTTATCTTTTATGAACTGGTCTATGAGGTAGTTATCAAGGCCCCTTAAGAAAATACTGCTATACAAACGTTCATGGGCCAAAATAAGACATTAATTTCCATAACTAGATGTGTCCTGAAAACAAAAAGAAAAAAATTGCTACACAGAGAAGAGACAAAAATGTTGATGTTCAATGCATATCAGAGCACAGCTATGAGAATACTCTACACATGCCACATAACGCTTTAGTGTAGGTATTGGTGTGTACATGTATGTATGGTGCACATAAGCACATCAGCCTGCAGGTCATTTCCTTCCCCCATGTGGCTCTCAGGAACCAACCTCTGGTTGCCAGGCTCAGCAGCAAGTGCCCTTACCCTCTGAGCCATCTCCCCGACCCCAGGCAAATGATTTTTCATCTCTTCTAGTTATTTCAAAACAGTCAATTATCACCATTTATTATGAGCACGGCCTGTGCCAAGAGTGAGCCAAAGCTCTTTGTAAGCACCCACTCAGCCCTAACAGAACTCTAAAGTAGAAGTAATCACTTCTGCTTTTCAGATGAGGAACCTGAGGCTTTGGGAAGCTAAGCAATCCTTTCAGGAATTCTCAGTTCATATATTTTGAAGCTTGGAATTAAATCCAACTGAGGAATAACAACAAGAATTCCCTCAATGTGGACTTTCACTCCAAGCACACATGATTCATGGTTTATGCTCAGGCTGTACCTTGCTCTGTCAACCTGTCAGCTTCTCTGATGGACCTTATGTCTGGGGGGAGAGGAGAGGCCATCTCTGTTATTCACTTCTCTTATCTCAAGTGCACTGAGACCAAAGTCCATATAACCCATGAAGATTCTACCATATCATGGTTCCCTGCCTTTCTAGTTCTCCAGAATTCTCATATAAGGAGAGTTAGATTTAAACTAAGTTGTTTTCCTTCTCAGGACCTCCTTTGCATACACAAAATGAGGCTTATACTCATTCTTCTATCACATAGGAAAATAAAAGTCTCTGCTCTTTATTTTCCCCAAACCCTTTCGGACAGCAGGATTTATTTCTATCCTGTATGTTGTCACCTGATCCCCTTTTAGTTGAGGGACCTAGGTGAGACTCAGCATTTCTCCTGGGCCCCAGGTTAACCAACAATCTGATCATGGCTTGCCAACATGCATACCCTATCCTTGGGAATGGTTGCTATAGCTACTAGATAGACATCCTCCTCCTTCTGAGGGACTGTGTTCCGTGAAGGCAGGTTAGCTTCTGACCATCATCTATACAGGGAATTCCTAAACACTTTAAGCCAAAGGATTTAGATGAATGGAAAGAGAGAGTAAAGCATCTCTACAGAGAACCAAAGTAGAGGGCAAAGCATTCTTGCAGGAGGAAGGAAGCAGAGGGGAAATGCCCCTGTAAGATGATAGAAATAGAGTGCAAGATATCCCTGATGGAAAATGGAAGCAGAAAGAAAAGCATCCCTGTGTGCGGTGAGAGGTGGAAGGGGAAATCAAAGCACCCCTATAGGGGATGTAAATAGGGAGCAGAGCATCTATGAAGGGGGATACAAATAGAAGCAAAGGCTGGCACTGCTGTTGGGATGTCTGAATCCAATCAGGCTGTAGTTGCATGGAGCCTTTGCAGTTAATTTAACCAAAAGACTCCTGCTTTTCTTACGTCAAATAAAGCCATGCTCTCTTGAGTCACATGTAAGAGCCCTGTAGGTCATGGAGCACACAGTGTAAATGGGATAACAGCTAATATACAGGAGGCAACATAGCCTCAAATACTGAAGCAGCTGGTGAAAGGTATCCACCACTACCATGTTCCTCTACATTTGTGTGTGGTAGACAGGAGGGCCTGGAGTCCTTCAGACTCTTTCTGTGACTTCCAATTACACCACATGTAAAATCACCAATGTTTTTGTGAAGAATAAATGTTGTGAGAGAAAAAAAATGACATTAAAAAGAAAAAAGAAAAAAATCAAGGTATTCTTCACCTTGGTTTTATCTTAGTTTCAGTTACTATCTCATTCTTTAGACTTCAACCTAACATCTGTGATGGATAAAAGAATTAAAATCCCAAACCTTCAACATGATCTGTCAAGAGTACTGGAGAAGCCATGAGCATAACTCAGCTAGCACCCATACTAAAGTGGGTCCAGAATTGAAAAGAAGATGCAGTCCTAGTTTTGCTGTCAAGTTTAGATCAAGCATCTAGGCAAAGGACAGTTGACTTAGAATCACCAAAGCCTGTGTGGAACACAGACAAAGTAGCTAACATGAACTAAGAAACCTCCATCAGTGATGTGCTACAGCTTTCCTCTGTATTCCTTCTTCAGAATAATTATTCATTTCTCTTTTGGTCAATTAAAAGGATGAACTATGAGTACACCCTGAAATTATCTACTTCTATCTCCAAGGAGGAAACTAATATATAACTGCAGAAAGACACTAACTAATAAGCAGAATTTAACATGAAACTCAGGCCAAGTTGAACTCAAATTGCTCTGTTTAAAGACAGGACTGGAGTAAATAAAAGCACTTCAAAGCCAATGTTCTGTTTCAGCTTGAATGTTTTATTGAGCGCACAGGGAGAACTCTGTTCCAAAGCAGGGTTGGTTAATGAGGAAAAATTGGTGTTTTGGTCCATTGGTTGCTTTCTGGAGTAAGAGTATCACTGAGAGATAACTATATCTACTATATTCACTGAGAAGACAGAATGATGATCTATTTTGGAGCCTTGGTTTTTGTAAACTGAGAACAGAGAAATGTATCTATCTGAATGCCTTTTGTGATAACGACATGCATCCCTTCCACCAAACCTACCCAACTTAAACACAATTCCAAACAGATTCTATCTGCCAACCCTGTCATTGCAGCCCTAACCTTTTAAGGGGAGGTACAGGAAGAAAGGACCTTTGTGGAGCATTTCCAGAATTTTCCACATTCAACTTTTCTTGAATATCATTTCAGAAATAATGCTTTCTACCGAGAAAAACTTATTGAATTTTCTGATAATATCTCATAAGTGCCAGACTCAGGGAAAAGTCAAGCCCAACACTCCCGAGCATAAATTCCTGCAGAGTTGGTTACAGCAGATAGTCCATCTCTAAACATGTAGGGATTGAAAAACAAAACTTGGACTTACCTGCAAATGCTGTGAGTTGTCAACCAGGCTATCTTCTCGTCGGCGCACTTCTTCTAATAACTGGGCATTCTTCTTCTTCTCCAGCTGTTGGTTGTGCTTGAGGTTGGCCACCTTCTTGTTCTGATCTTTCATATGCCTGAGAAAAGACAGCACAGTATAGTTAAATTAAACCACAGCAAAAGAATGTATTGTCAGAACAAACTCAAGATATACTAAATGCAGAATGTCCTGGCGCAGGTTCAGAAAAAAACAAGGGGTTCTGAGAATCCTACATCAATTCAAACATAATATTGTGGGTGCTCAGCACCCACAAATGGCAGGTGTCAGGATGGCCTTGTTTGTTCATGATGAGTGAGACAGGTATAGTTTTCATTCTTATAGAGCAGTAAGCTCAGTGGCAAGACAAACAGATGCTAAAGAGATACAATTTGGGTTTCCTAAATTGAAGGTAGTCAACAGCATGCCATGAGAGATAATGGCACACATACATGGACAGATTGTGGATGGAAGGAGATGAATTTAGACATTGTGACCCGAGAAATGTTCCCAAAGCAGATCAAAGGAGTTAACCAGGAGGAGCACCCCATGGAGAGGCTCCCTGACAAAGATGTTCTCCAGGTAGAAAAATGGCTGGAATACAAGACAAAAGAAACTTGAAGGGCTATAATGATACTCCCTATAGTGGAAGGGGCTTAATGAAAGAGATCAGACTCCAAAGGATAGTGGACAGGGCACATAACACCCTGTAGTCTATGACACAGTATTTAGTTTCTTCTAAGTAGCTGCTGTTCTTCTTCTTATTGCTCTTTTGGATCATGTACGTCTCTTGAGATAATAACCCATTGCTTTGACTTTTAAAATAACAACCTGAAGTCTCTAATCAAATACATTGTTAGCACATAGTTCGAGGTAATAGTTTGGCTAAAGATAATGTTGCACAAGGCCCTGGTACTTACAGTAAAAGTTCATAGGATGCCAAATCCTATTAGCATAAAGGTCAAGATGGTAAAAGATAAAGGAAAAGGGTGGGTTAATTAAAAATGAAAATTACAAGCTTAATGCAGACCATTTCATCAGAAACATTTAGTAAAACATTCTATAGATTTCGGCAGTCATCTCCATGGCAGCTATTATACATCACTTAAGGAGGCAGGATAACAGCATCAATGCCTGGGGTTCAAGGGCACAAAGAGGATGCTGGACAGTGAATCCTTGGTAACCTTTCTAATCTTTCCACCCCTGTCTTCAGCAATCACTATAACTGAGCCCTGGCTCCCAAGACCAGCAAACTGAAGACTATAATCAAAAAGAGAACTGGATGATCCATAGCAAACAACATCAGACTGAAACATTACCAAAGCTTACGAGGGCCACTCTCCACAAGCTACTCTTCCTTTAGTCCTCATAGAATGGTATACTCCCTCCCACCTTCATTCCAGAAAAGTGACATATAAAAGCAATGGACCTGTAGCTCATCAATTTGACTAGACCAGCTGACCAGCAAGCCCCAAGGACTCTACTATCTTTGCAACTGCATCTTGAGAAATATAGGCATATATCACTACAACTGCTTTAAAAATACACACACAGATACTGGAGATCTGAACTCAGGTTGTCATGCTTGTACAGCAAGCACTCTGACAATAGAACCACCTTCAAAGCCTGGGACTTCTTAACTAGAGGACACACACTCTCAAAGAAAAGTACATCTTGTACTAATGCATACCATTAAATAGAACTAACTGCTAAATGCCCCCCTACCCAAGTACATCCATATAAAATAGAAAACTGCTGGCAGTGTTTTCATGAAGAGCTCACGCAGCTTGCTCTGGGTAATCCAAACACAAAGAACTCAATTCTATGGGTCCAACAATGGTTGTTTAATAAATAAACAATTGAATGACAAATTCGAAGTCCATGAGTCATTTAAAGCTTTTCTGTACTTGGAAAGATGAAGATCTGCAGTTCTGTGGATGTGGGGAGGGGACTCTCTTCTCCTTGTTTAGCCATTTACTCAAATACTGCTTTATTAAAAATGCAGAAGTTGACAAAAGAAGAGCTGATTTTCAAGTGGTGCTGCTTAGGATACAGGCCAATCAGGCTGGAGCTAGATGATAAGAATTGACGGTAGGTGGCCACCATCTTGTGTCCATGTGACTATCACCAGTGACAAACCCAGTATATGCCTTCCCTGCAGAAGTACAGTGACTTTCAAATGCACTTCTAGTGGTTGACCTTTCTTCTGAATATCCATGAAAACTAACAAGGATGGAAAGATTTCCCTTCAGAGGTAGGAAGGAAGCAAGGAGTGACATGTGTAATCCAAACACAAAGAACTAATTTCTACAGACATGACAATGGTTGTTTAATAAACAAATGATTAAATGCCAGATTCCAGGTCTACATGTCATTTAAAACTATTCTGCTTTTGGAAAGAATTTTTATGATGAGGTTATTAGAGCTTCTGGTAGGAAACAAACCTTCACTCAAGGCTCCCTCAAGGAAAACTGGTTGAAATTGTAGAAATAGAGAAGAAAGGTAAAGACCTCAACCCTAGGTCCCTTGGCTAAAACATGGAATCTGCACAGCTCAGTGATGTTCAGTGACAGCATGAGAAATGTGAGTTTTTCTGGGACACTTGCAGCTTCCAATATAAATATCTGCAAGAAGCCTGCCAGGCCCCATGTCTTCCTCACCTGTAGAAGTAGACCTACACTGAATAAGTCAAAGTTCTGAACTCAATATAGCTCTCTGCTGGCTCTAACGTTTGGGAGGTAGGTTATACAAGTGTGTAGACTGCAATACTCTCTTGCAAAACTCTCCAAGGAAAATGCCATTTATGTTTTGTCTATAACTCTCACCGCTTGGGAATCTCAGTGGTTCTGTGGAAGCTCACTTAAGGAGTTCTGCTTTCCAAGGAATTACCATTCAAAATGTATCTAATATACAAATGAAAAAATAAGGAAGTAGAGAGGCAGCTCAGCACTATGGAGCTCTTGCTGTACAATTATCAAGAGTGGGGTTTGGATCCAAGCTCTCACATAATCAGCTCATCATCTAACTCCAAAGGGGCTGTGAGGACAGGAGGATTTGCTCAGGCTCACTAGCTTCCAGCCTAGTAAAAGAAAGTACAGGCACCAGGCTCAGAAAAAGAATAATCAGAAAGTGATACAGGAGGACACTGAGTCTCTCTCCTGGCCTCTGGGTTCCCCAATATACATACACAAATAAATAATGGTACAGACAGTTTTTAATATTGAAGTTAAATTGACTGGTCTCATAAAGGGTTACAAGTATTAAGAAGTTTGGATTAAATATCTCCAACAGTTATACAGGTCATTAATGGCTGTGGCATTTGAAAGAATGTCAGAGAACATGGAACCCTGCTCTTTCTACTGGAACCGTCTGTAAAAGTAAAATCAACAAGAGTTCTCTAAGTCCTGGTAAGATCCTGTGAGACTGAGACCTCCAGAATTATACTGGAGAATACTGGGCAGGAAGGATACATGTTCCTACAAAGGAAGAAATGTGTGCATTTGTATACAGAGGAGAAAACTAAACCTTCCTTTGACATCTTAGCAAAAGCACCAAGATGATACTTGTTTACCTACCTACTCTTTAAAACATCTTTAAAAACTGACAGTGTTCATTATTGGGGGTGGGTGCAGAACCCAGCTCTCTCCTGTGTGCTTGGGGGAGGCTCAATTCGCGAAAGCACTTCTGAATTAACTTGGCAATATCCAAAGTGCACATACCTACTGCCCAAGCCAGCCCTTCTTCTAGAAAAGAAGCTCACAAAGGCACTTACATCTAAACATAGTACATGCACAAAATCCTTTCAATCAAGCCATATGAAATGAAAATTCGAAAACTTTCACTTGTCCATTAGAAGGAAACTGACCAAAGAATTGAGTACATTATTCATCTGGGACCCAGCTAGCTAAATGAGTAAGGCTGGATGAAAAATTCTCAAGACATCATAAGCAAGCAAAGCAGTGAGCAGAATGATATGTACAGTCTTGATTATGAGAAAATAATAAAGCCCATTTGGATACACACAAACATAAATGGGAACTTCTGGAAATTTCACACCAGTCTACTAGGGAAGAGAAATCAAAACAAAACTTTGGAATGGGACTAAAGTAAAATGAACTTCAATTCTCTCTCTCTCTCTCTCTCTCTCTCTCTCTCTCTCTCTCTCTCTCTCTGTGTGTGTGTGTGTGTGTGTGTGCGTGTGTAAATATATACAAGAAATGCATGAAAGACAATAGACATTAAAGGCACAAATTACTGACTTCTGACCAATCAAATCACGAAGCACTGCCATCCCCAGCTGGGAAGTAGTCACTATTCAAACTTCTACATGTGTGGAGTCATTTCACCCCTTCTTGAACTTCACAGTCACCATACTGTGTGCGGTCTTTTGTGTCTGACATTTTGGTTGTGTATAGAACTATCAGAGTCACCTGTACCTTTTTGCATATGGCTGTGTACATGTGGTGAACCTGTATGTATGAGTGTTTGCACATGGGTGTGTGTGTGTGTGTGCACATATACAAGACTATAGATGCATGTAGAGACCCGAGACTAACTTCAGGATTCATCCCCAATTACCTTCAACTGAACCCAAAGCTTGCTCACACAACTAATATAGGTAGCCATCTAGCTCCGAGAAATCCCTTTTTTTTTTTTTTTTGCCTTCCCAGTGCTGGAATTACAGGTAGGGAGCCATGCCCATCCAGCATTTATGTGAATGCTCAGGATCCAAACCCAGATCTCTGTAATACATCACAAGTGCTTCAGCCACTGTGCCAGCTGCTGAGTGTGCACACATAGTTGTATATTTGTGCATGTTCTTTATATCAAGTAGTACTCTGCTACCTGACTATTATTATAGTTCAACTAGTCTCTTCATTTTAATGAATAATTAGAACTATGTACATTATTTTATTGTTATGAATGAATAAGTGTCCATTAACTGTCTCATATCAGACTTTTATAGAAATACACTTTCATTTTCATGGATAAATAACCCAATATATATTAATCAAGAATGAAAAGGTAAAAGCCCATGTCAAGATCTAATGAATCTGCGTTTTAAGTATATCTGGATTACAGTGGTTTAAAACGTCATCT